AATTATCTACATTATTAAAATATACGATAATGTCATTACACATCTGATTATATAAAATTTCTGTTTCAGTTTTCAGCCGGGGGCAATCATGACAGGAACATACCGGAGATCGGTGAGTACAGGTAGAAAAAACAAAGCTTTCTATTGATTTCGCTGTTGTTTATTGTCCTCGTTTCTTAAATTTCGTTTCAATCTTGTAAAATTATTAAAATTATTTTCCATTGCTTTAAACTTATTTTCAAGGATTTTATTATTCACGAATTTTCGTACACTCAAATTAAGTAAAAATTTATATGCATTTCAAGTAAAAATTTATATGCAAATCAAGTAAAAATTTATATGCATTTTCTAACAATAATAGTGATACGAAAAAATAAAAAGTCTAACGAAAAAATAAATTTTTAATAAAGTTACATGTTTTTAAGACTATATATATAATGGCAATAATATAACAGTACATATAAAAAATACCAATACAGAATCAATAGAGTATTTCTACATCAAATGTGTTTAGCATAATATACTTAGAGAAATATCATCAGTCAGTTTTATATATTGCAAAAAGCTGGCCGTATGAGAATTAAAACAGCGCGACATGCATATTCCGGGATGATTACGGTATTAACCAGCACGTGATCAATCTCCATAAATTTTATGTTCGCTGCGCAGCGGACGCGAGAGGAAGTTCGTAATACCCAACAAAAACCCTCAATACTTTTGTTTCGATATGAGAGATATCGCGCATAAATCGTCACTAACGCATCGAAAGTTCAATATTCTTATTCATCCTTGCCAAGGAATTTTGAACGTACCCAGTCGTGTATTCCGTATACGTCGTTGATCACGATGAACGATCGTTCATGCATGGGTAGACGGAAGAAATAGCCGCCGTCTTACGAAAATATTTATGGAACTGTATATCGAGCGTTTGAATTACTTTCAAGATTCGACGAAAAAATATTGGCGAGAAATATTTTAGCGAGAATCTCGTTGCGCGGTCATATATTCGCGTGTTTATTAAAATCTCTTCCGTTCGGAGTCTCGTTAGAATTCGGAGAAATTCTACAATGCGGCATTCATTCGATGATAATTACCGCGGTTAAACCACTTTATTTCGCGGTTACGCCTCGTTTTATTTCCTTTTGCATCTTTTTTTTTTTGAAATTATTCGTCGTTTTAAGACTCATTTGGGAAAAATTGTTACTAACATTATTAATTTTAATGCATTATTGGAGGATATCTTTGTGTACAACTGTTGGATATTCGCGCTTCGATAGTTGACAATGGTTCGTTCAACCACGATACCGTCCTCGTTATTCACGCATCATTTGTCTCGTATCCCAGTAGTCCTCTATTATATATATATTCCGATATTACGTCAGAAACGTCAACACGTATCGAAGGCGATGTCGTGAAAATTGAGGAGAAAGGAACGCGTAAAACAACAAGGCGAATAAATTCTTGCGAAAACTTTTGTTAGTTTCTGCAAGAGTTATATCAAAATTTTATTATTTTTTCGTAATAGATTCTCTAGCATAAATAAATAAAAATTTCTGTTAAAAGTACATATATGAGATTAGGAGAATAAAATCTAAAATTATATTATTTAATTATGCAAGAGAAATTACGCAGTTTTTCTGATAAATATATAATAATTTTTGTGGCAAAATAATAAAAGACGCTATTACAGAATAATTAGTTAAAGCCAATAGTAAGAAAAATTGAAGAAAAATGCTTGTATTAATTTCTAATTTATCTCAGAGTAAGTATGGACAAATACAATCAAAATTAATGATCAATTGTATAAATAGTTTATTAAAAACTAATAGAATATTAAAAGATTATTTGGATAATTGTTTATAAAATTTGCATTTATCAATTAAATAGAAATAAATTTTAATTAAAAATTTGTAAATTATAATCGTGTCTCTCTTCTAAAACAATTATTACTTCAATATACTATCTTAATACAACGTGTAAATAATGGCATTGTGTAAATATCATAATCAAGAATGATGAATTCAGTGAAAATTTATAATTACATTACGAGAACAGATTCGTGTTGAATTTTAATAGAATTCTGGAATATTGAATTTGCGACATGGCTCTGAACCATTTGGCCGGCTTCTGGATGGATCTGCTTATGTGCGTTTAAAACCGCGGCCTTGTAACCCGAGAGTGACTTCTAATTTGCCTTCGGTGCATGATCAGGGGGACGGATATTCGGACAAACAAGCCAAAGGATCATGCCCTGACCGGTATTTGACGACTGTTTATGTAGTACCGTGTGAATTGCTACTTTGCATACCGGGTGACCACGCTAGTAAGGATAACACGGCACCGGCATTACAGAAACGCCGAAACTGCTGTGCTCTCCCACAAGGATGCTGTGCATCCACGATGCGCGGATATACAACCGATTCCGGCGAATATCAGAAACACTAACTGTAACATCATGTACGGTGATTAAAATCTTAATTGTACGAAACAAGCGTGGACTTCCGCCAAGGAAATTCGTTCCTTTGGCAAAGCTTAACTTTGTCAAGACTTATTAGTTAATTATCTAGTTTGTCGTGGACGCGTAGAAATAAAAAAATTTTTGAAGAATACGTCAATAAAAGATCGCCCGCAAATTTCACGAATAATAAAATACTACTCTCGCTAAATTGTAAGAATATGAAAGTTTAACTTAGCCATATCTTATCTCGAGTGACAGCTCTCATAAAACATCGTATTATTAACGTAGCATAGCGACTTCCTGCCATCGGGAAAAAACTCGGCGTAAGAAAAATGAAGGAAAGACGAACAATTATAATGCGTAATGATCTTCTCTGAATATGTATAAATTTACGCTTCGATGAACTTATTACACAAAAATATGATATTATGGCTTTTCTTGTCACACAATACGAGATGGAAAAACTCGCTGGGAAAGTACGCAAGCTAAAATATGCTTTTTCTAATACACGTTTCCCGTGATTCGCGCGAGGAATCCCTGCCGTCTCCGAACATTAGCCCGTGCATTATCTCCCGCAATTTTTTCCTTCAGTCCATCAACGGAGTTGTTAGGGGAAACTGACTCGATGGTTCAAAGAAAGAGAGAGACATCCAGCTATCGGATTTCTAGATCAAAACTTAGCCGGTCATGTTCGACTCAACATTCGCTTGCGACCTATTATTTCCAACGTGGCTAATGCACTTTTTTCGATCGGTCTTATTTCAGAACAAAGAATATCTGTGTCGAGATCGCGTTTCCGAATTCCTATGACGAAATTTATCGCCGTTGTCTCTCGTCGATCTTTTATTTTCAGTTTGGTTTATTCCCAGACATTGACTTTTAAATGTCATTCCAAGCCATAATTAATAGATCGCACAATTCAGTAGACTCGACTATTTAAGAAATTCATATTTTTATTGAACAGTATTTACACATTTATGCCTTTTTTACAATTACAAACAAATTACAGTTGTTACGTTATTTATTTTGCGAATAAAATCAACAGCTATTCAGTTTGTATTAATCTATATGTGATATTGTGTAAAAAATTGCACAAAATGTCGCAATAAATTCTACGAATTATCGGGAGTGCAAACTCTGGTCGTTTCTTAAAAGCTAAACGCGTCGCAAGTAGATACGATCCGCAATACATTAGGCGATGATGGACGGACACATTCTTCCTGCAGTGATCTGACTGGCGCGCATACTCCCAAAATTGATGTTGCCATTGCTTCTCGATGTCCCCTTTTCGACATAACGCGATTTCGCCATTAGCTTAACCGCGCATGGGGTTAACCACAATTTGGAGAAGCAGGTTTTCAGCGTGAACTGCAGCGTCATCAACGTTGCGGCTTATAGCGTATTAACGGCTATAACTTACAAGACAAATATATCGAAGAATTGTCAAATATCGTTTTTATGTTGTAGGCTAGAAATGGAAAGTAGGAATAACGACAAGGAAACTTCATTACTTATATATATTTATTACACGCGTCGCGCTGTGTCGATGAATTGTATGATAAATTGAATTCGGATGAAATTGAGTTTCATCTCGCTTGCGAGTTAACGAGATAATGATCGAGTCTTCTATTTCTGAAGGAAATGTGCGATCATGTGCGATTTTAATTGGAATAGTTCACGCGAAGCAAAAAGCAAATGAACTGTTGCTCAACTCTTACTTTAAACGTTTTTACTTTAAAAAATTAGTTGTAGTCTTTTATCGATCGCGGTTGAAAAATTCTAATTTAAAAAAAAAAAAATTATGATAATATTTAATCACAGAATTTTCCATACGGAAAATTTATATTACACATTGATTTGAAATAATTATGTCAAAAATCGCATTCCCAATGATTGGCAAATAATCGCGCGAATTATTCAAATTGTTGATCATAGCAATTATTGCATTGATTTATCCATAACGATCATTAGCAAGTTAAATAATTTGATGTTGCGCGTATAACAATTATAAATTGCTGGATAACTCACTATTACAATTCTCGTTCGTCATTCTCTATTGGCACCTTTAATAGGATGACTATTGCGTAGGAACTATTGCGAGATGCGCTGTCACGATAGAATTACCGTCATATCAGACAGCTCTCTGAATTTTCGAGCTCATTGAGCAATTCTATAATGTCTTTATGGATATAACCTGTAAGTTCCGTCTTTTATCAATTCTATTCTAATCCTATTTTTATTGTTTTCATTAATTATACACGATTCAAAATAATATTTATATTTTTTAATAGAAAAATATATAAATTTTAATAAATTTGACACTTAAAAGATTTGTAAAATTATTATCACATAACATTTTAATTGGTTTTTCTTTACGAAGTTAAAATGCGATGATGTCTAACTTTTTTTATATTTAATTTATAATGTAAAAGATAGAGTATATATATATACATATATCCTATTTTATCTAATTATCTACATTATTAAAATATACGATAATGTCATTACACATCTGATTATATAAAATTTCTGTTTCAGTTTTCAGCCGGGGGCAATCATGACAGGAACATACCGGAGATCGGTGAGTACAGGTAGAAAAAACAAAGTTTTCTATTGATTTCGCTGTTGTTTATTGTCCTCGTTTCTTAAATTTCGTTTCAATCTTGTAAAATTATTAAAATTATTTTCCATTGCTTTAAACTTATTTTCAAGGATTTTATTATTCACGAATTTTCGTACACTCAAATTAAGTAAAAATTTATATGCATTTCAAGTAAAAATTTATATGCAAATCAAGTAAAAATTTATATGCATTTTCTAACAATAATAGTGATACGAAAAAATAAAAAGTCTAACGAAAAAATAAATTTTTAATAAAGTTACATGTTTTTAAGACTATATATATAATGGCAATAATATAACAGTACATATAAAAAATACCAATACAGAATCAATAGAGTATTTCTACATCAAATGTGTTTAGCATAATATACTTAGAGAAATATCATCAGTCAGTTTTATATATTGCAAAAAGCTGGCCGTATGAGAATTAAAACAGCGCGACATGCATATTCCGGGATGATTACGGTATTAACCAGCACGTGATCAATCTCCATAAATTTTATGTTCGCTGCGCAGCGGACGCGAGAGGAAGTTCGTAATACCCAACAAAAACCCTCAATACTTTTGTTTCGATATGAGAGATATCGCGCATAAATCGTCACTAACGCATCGAAAGTTCAATATTCTTATTCATCCTTGCCAAGGAATTTTGAACGTACCCAGTCGTGTATTCCGTATACGTCGTTGATCACGATGAACGATCGTTCATGCATGGGTAGACGGAAGAAATAGCCGCCGTCTTACGAAAATATTTATGGAACTGTATATCGAGCGTTTGAATTACTTTCAAGATTCGACGAAAAAATATTGGCGAGAAATATTTTAGCGAGAATCTCGTTGCGCGGTCATATATTCGCGTGTTTATTAAAATCTCTTCCGTTCGGAGTCTCGTTAGAATTCGGAGAAATTCTACAATGCGGCATTCATTCGATGATAATTACCGCGGTTAAACCACTTTATTTCGCGGTTACGCCTCGTTTTATTTCCTTTTGCATCTTTTTTTTTTTGAAATTATTCGTCGTTTTAAGACTCATTTGGGAAAAATTGTTACTAACATTATTAATTTTAATGCATTATTGGAGGATATCTTTGTGTACAACTGTTGGATATTCGCGCTTCGATAGTTGACAATGGTTCGTTCAACCACGATACCGTCCTCGTTATTCACGCATCATTTGTCTCGTATCCCAGTAGTCCTCTATTATATATATATTCCGATATTACGTCAGAAACGTCAACACGTATCGAAGGCGATGTCGTGAAAATTGAGGAGAAAGGAACGCGTAAAACAACAAGGCGAATAAATTCTTGCGAAAACTTTTGTTAGTTTCTGCAAGAGTTATATCAAAATTTTATTATTTTTTCGTAATAGATTCTCTAGCATAAATAAATAAAAATTTCTGTTAAAAGTACATATATGAGATTAGGAGAATAAAATCTAAAATTATATTATTTAATTATGCAAGAGAAATTACGCAGTTTTTCTGATAAATATATAATAATTTTTGTGGCAAAATAATAAAAGACGCTATTACAGAATAATTAGTTAAAGCCAATAGTAAGAAAAATTGAAGAAAAATGCTTGTATTAATTTCTAATTTATCTCAGAGTAAGTATGGACAAATACAATCAAAATTAATGATCAATTGTATAAATAGTTTATTAAAAACTAATAGAATATTAAAAGATTATTTGGATAATTGTTTATAAAATTTGCATTTATCAATTAAATAGAAATAAATTTTAATTAAAAATTTGTAAATTATAATCGTGTCTCTCTTCTAAAACAATTATTACTTCAATATACTATCTTAATACAACGTGTAAATAATGGCATTGTGTAAATATCATAATCAAGAATGATGAATTCAGTGAAAATTTATAATTACATTACGAGAACAGATTCGTGTTGAATTTTAATAGAATTCTGGAATATTGAATTTGCGACATGGCTCTGAACCATTTGGCCGGCTTCTGGATGGATCTGCTTATGTGCGTTTAAAACCGCGGCCTTGTAACCCGAGAGTGACTTCTAATTTGCCTTCGGTGCATGATCAGGGGGACGGATATTCGGACAAACAAGCCAAAGGATCATGCCCTGACCGGTATTTGACGACTGTTTATGTAGTACCGTGTGAATTGCTACTTTGCATACCGGGTGACCACGCTAGTAAGGATAACACGGCACCGGCATTACAGAAACGCCGAAACTGCTGTGCTCTCCCACAAGGATGCTGTGCATCCACGATGCGCGGATATACAACCGATTCCGGCGAATATCAGAAACACTAACTGTAACATCATGTACGGTGATTAAAATCTTAATTGTACGAAACAAGCGTGGACTTCCGCCAAGGAAATTCGTTCCTTTGGCAAAGCTTAACTTTGTCAAGACTTATTAGTTAATTATCTAGTTTGGACGCGTAGAAATAAAAAAATTTTTGAAGAATACGTCAATAAAAGATCGCCCGCAAATTTCACGAATAATAAAATACTACTCTCGCTAAATTGTAAGAATATGAAAGTTTAACTTAGCCATATCTTATCTCGAGTGACAGCTCTCATAAAACATCGTATTATTAACGTAGCATAGCGACTTCCTGCCATCGGGAAAAAACTCGGCGTAAGAAAAATGAAGGAAAGACGAACAATTATAATGCGTAATGATCTTCTCTGAATATGTATAAATTTACGCTTCGATGAACTTATTACACAAAAATATGATATTATGGCTTTTCTTGTCACACAATACGAGATGGAAAAACTCGCTGGGAAAGTACGCAAGCTAAAATATGCTTTTTCTAATACACGTTTCCCGTGATTCGCGCGAGGAATCCCTGCCGTCTCCGAACATTAGCCCGTGCATTATCTCCCGCAATTTTTTCCTTCAGTCCATCAACGGAGTTGTTAGGGGAAACTGACTCGATGGTTCAAAGAAAGAGAGAGACATCCAGCTATCGGATTTCTAGATCAAAACTTAGCCGGTCATGTTCGACTCTCCATTCGCTTGCGACCTATTATTTCCAACGTGGCTAATGCACTTTTTTCGATCGGTCTTATTTCAGAACAAAGAATATCTGTGTCGAGATCGCGTTTCCGAATTCCTATGACGAAATTTATCGCCGTTGTCTCTCGTCGATCTTTTATTTTCAGTTTGGTTTATTCCCAGACATTGACTTTTAAATGTCATTCCAAGCCATAATTAATAGATCGCACAATTCAGTAGACTCGACTATTTAAGAAATTCATATTTTTATTGAACAGTATTTACACATTTATGCCTTTTTTACAATTACAAACAAATTACAGTTGTTACGTTATTTATTTTGCGAATAAAATCAACAGCTATTCAGTTTGTATTAATCTATATGTGATATTGTGTAAAAAATTGCACAAAATGTCGCAATAAATTCTACGAATTATCGGGAGTGCAAACTCTGGTCGTTTCTTAAAAGCTAAACGCGTCGCAAGTAGATACGATCCGCAATACATTAGGCGATGATGGACGGACACATTCTTCCTGCAGTGATCTGACTGGCGCGCATACTCCCAAAATTGATGTTGCCATTGCTTCTCGATGTCCCCTTTTCGACATAACGCGATTTCGCCATTAGCTTAACCGCGCATGGGGTTAACCACAATTTGGAGAAGCAGGTTTTCAGCGTGAACTGCAGCGTCATCAACGTTGCGGCTTATAGCGTATTAACGGCTATAACTTACAAGACAAATATATCGAAGAATTGTCAAATATCGTTTTTATGTTGTAGGCTAGAAATGGAAAGTAGGAATAACGACAAGGAAACTTCATTACTTATATATATTTATTACACGCGTCGCGCTGTGTCGATGAATTGTATGATAAATTGAATTCGGATGAAATTGAGTTTCATCTCGCTTGCGAGTTAACGAGATAATGATCGAGTCTTCTATTTCTGAAGGAAATGTGCGATCATGTGCGATTTTAATTGGAATAGTTCACGCGAAGCAAAAAGCAAATGAACTGTTGCTCAACTCTTACTTTAAACGTTTTTACTTTAAAAAATTAGTTGTAGTCTTTTATCGATCGCGGTTGAAAAATTCTAATTTAAAAAAAAAAAAATTATGATAATATTTAATCACAGAATTTTCCATACGGAAAATTTATATTACACATTGATTTGAAATAATTATGTCAAAAATCGCATTCCCAATGATTGGCAAATAATCGCGCGAATTATTCAAATTGTTGATCATAGCAATTATTGCATTGATTTATCCATAACGATCATTAGCAAGTTAAATAATTTGATGTTGCGCGTATAACAATTATAAATTGCTGGATAACTCACTATTACAATTCTCGTTCGTCATTCTCTATTGGCACCTTTAATAGGATGACTATTGCGTAGGAACTATTGCGAGATGCGCTGTCACGATAGAATTACCGTCATATCAGACAGCTCTCTGAATTTTCGAGCTCATTGAGCAATTCTATAATGTCTTTATGGATATAACCTGTAAGTTCCGTCTTTTATCAATTCTATTCTAATCCTATTTTTATTGTTTTCATTAATTATACACGATTCAAAATAATATTTATATTTTTTAATAGAAAAATATATAAATTTTAATAAATTTGACACTTAAAAGATTTGTAAAATTATTATCACATAACATTTTAATTGGTTTTTCTTTACGAAGTTAAAATGCGATGATGTCTAACTTTTTTTATATTTAATTTATAATGTAAAAGATAGAGTATATATATATATATATGCACTTATGAATATTGTTTCGCAATTTATAAAGGTAATTCTCACACAATTTCTCTCGATCGCCGTTAATCATTTTCATTATACGCACTAATGACCCATGTTCATTTACGCACCGGTGTTCATGAGAAACAGCAGGTACAAGCTGCATCCAGCTGTGCCATCTGACAAGCTTTTGTTTCATTATCGAGTTCATGGATTATATATTGATATAAAAT